TGTAATAAACCAACACACGCAAAAATCCAGGCTTTAGCTTAATCAATACTGATTATTCCCCAGAAACCCAGTGACAGATCCATGGCTCCAATTAACCAAAACACACATGCCTATAATCCAACAAAACCGATAAATCAAAGACCTTTCGCCATCTAAGAGCCCTGGAAACCTCTTAAAGCTCTATAATTTAATCCAAAAGCTCTTCAACCCCACAACTATAAGAGAAAACTGAGCTGTCCCCAACACTAATCAATACAGAACTCCAGAATACAGCTGGCGACACCTTCCAACAGAAAATGATGATGGAGATGCGAAGAAGAGGAGGAAGAAGAAGAAGGTGATTGATTATGTGAATCTGCGTTTGTGGCGTGATAGAGAAGAGTATGTATGGTAATGGTTATGGGTAGTACAAAAGGTTAGGGGAGAGAAAGAGTGAGAGAGAGAGAGAGGTAGAGGTAGGAGAGAGAAACCAAATTAGTACAGGAAAAAAAAATTAATTATATGAAAAAACAAAATAGTGGTGGGACCACTTCTACACTAATAAAATAAAAAATATGAAAAATCTATAAGATAAAATAAAAACATAAAATTAATTCTTTAGTGACTTTTGTCTACCTCTTTTCTTCTTCCCATGTGAAGCAGTGTACTTAGGGAGGAGGTCAATAATCAGCTGCTTCGCGGAGCACGGGGATAATACAGTTGCACTGAGAGAGTTTCTATTGCCTGCGGGACGATGTACGATAAGCGTTTTTTTAAGTTAGTTGCGAGTTTTTGGGGGAAGAAATCGAGTGTTGCAGCGACTAGTGAACAACCGTAGTAATCGCTAGTTGACAAAGAAAGTGTCGGTGCGAGTGTGTGTGAACGCGGTTTGACTTTGACCGAAAGTAACGAAAAGAAAAAACAAACTTTCTGTGACTCGATTGGGTCAACCTTCTGTCTCCATGTGGTCATAATGGTCTGGGCTTTATTGGCCCACTCTTATTATAGGCCCACTTACTAACCCATGTCAATTTAATGAAGATATTAGAGATAATTTGGTTTGTTGTTTAATCTCGTTTTGTTTCATATCCTTGGTGTTTAATAATTTAAGGTGGAATGTAGGAAAAAATATCGAATTTGGTTAGTGTGAGTACAAAAAGAGACCAGTCACATGACAAAGCAGATCGAAGAATCCAATGCGCCACGTTGGATCATATTCTTCCATGTTCCTCGTTTTGGTAGCTTTAGAATCTCAACGGATCTAATTCCATAATCGTCCTAATTAAAGTATAACTTATTCCACATTTATTAATAGGTCATGATGCTGATAATTATTGGTTGTATATATGGGAGATATGCTGATACACATTCCGTTCTAACTCAAGCTATTGCAAAAACATCTAAATATATCGATTTAATAGCCGAAAAAGATACACAATAATGAATTAAAAAGTTCCACCAACCGCAGCGGCAAAGTTTCGGCAGATAATTCTCATAATCTAAAAGGAAAAAACAAATTGAAACGGCTAATCATATGTTATGACTTATGAGAAAGATTTGATTAGTGATAAAATAATGTTGTCACCAAAAGACACCATGATTCCTCTCGAACATGCCCATATTTTGTTCACATGCACGATAACGACTTCATATATACGACCCACAACTCACCAAACACCCATTTGTAACTTTAGTTTTTATTTTTTATTTTGCTCGTTGTTTCTTGCAATACCTAAAAAGATAACGCGGAAACAGAAAAACGATACGTAACATAGGAAGTTAGCTATTAGACTATATGTATACGTATCGTTTAGAAAAAGACTATATGCATACGTAGTTATAGCTAACGGTTTTTAGGAATCTAGTACCCCATATATGCATGTACAAAAGATGGAATCGATTAACTATTTATTATATTGAAAATATTAATTTCAACCATTATTTTTGAAACAAAAAATAATGTTCGTTCGCAAAAAGCACATGTTATTCTCAAATTCTCAATGGTCAAAAACAAATTTGAAATGGGTTATATTGTAATGAATTCGTAGTATTATAAAAAAACTGAAAATTTCCCAACTGGCAACTACCAACGGGAAATAAAATCATGGTTCGTTAAATGGCGGCCGACGGCGGAATTCACGGCGTTAATTTTAAAACGCTAATTCCGGAATTTAATTTTCCATTTTACTCGATAGATATTTAAATAAAAATGACGTGGCGATCTGGTCGTTTGACTTTTCGTTTTATTACATAATCTAACGGCCATCCTATTGACAGCTGTCAAATGACAACGTTTGAAAACCAGTCAAAGTTTGGAGAACTAATCCTCTGCTTCACTCAGCCGATGATCGAGCCGAATCATTTTTTTATTACAAATAAAAGTTTCCGCGTTTTTTTTGTTGTTAATTGATTTGGAACTCTCAAAGCTTGCCATTTTTGTCGAACATATTTCTTTCGACGGTTTCAGATCTCAAGAAGCTCTCTCACATTCCCATTTCACTCTACGAATCGTCTCTGTTTCTCTCCTTCGACTGAGGTAAAAAGCTTTTATGGCTTTACTTGATTTGTTCTGTTCTGTTCTCGATTTCCTTATTTAGAGTTGGAAGTGTTCATATCATTTTTTGTCTTGAATCACGCTTCGTAGATCAGCGACAGTCTTCAGATTTACATTTTTCGTACATAGTTAATGATAGTAGCTTCTGAATCAAAGCTTTAAGCTTTGCAATACGAAAACGAATTGGATTTAATTTGGTTTTGTTGCCTTTTAAGTTTCTCTGTTTACTTACAGTTTTTGAGATAGAAAGAAATGAGCTGCTTCGGGTGTTGTGAGGAAGATGATATGCAAAAAGCTGCTGATTATGGAAACCATAATAACACAGCCAAAAACTTTGGAGGTATTTTAAAGAATTGGTGTTTTGTGTTTTTCATGTGGGAGGATTTGTCTGCTTATGTTGGAGTTGTTTTTTGGAATTAGGAAACGATGGGAGGCACAAAGCCACTGAAACAGCACAAAAGGGAGCTCAAGTTGTGAAAGTGCAGCCTATTGAAGTACCTATCATCCCTGTTACTGAGCTCAAGGAAGCGACCGATGACTTCGGAACGAGTTCTCTCATCGGCGAAGGCTCTTACGGTAGAGTATATTACGGAGTGCTAAACAACGATCAGCCTGCAGCGATTAAGAAGCTGGATTCTAACAAACAGCCTGACAATGAGTTTCTTGCTCAGGTTCTTGTAGTTTTCAAGAAGTATATAGTAACTAACTATTGTGTTTTATATCTGACTTTTTGTATTGAAACTTTGGAAGCTTGAACTGCTTGTAGGTTTCAATGGTGTCTAGGCTGAAGAATGATAACTTTGTTGAGTTGATTGGTTACTGCGTTGATGGGAATTCACGGATACTTGCTTATGAGTTTGCTAAAAACGGATCTCTTCATGACATTCTTCATGGTATACACACAATCACACACTTGTACATCTATTTGTGGGCATTATTAGTTAAGTTTGCTTTAACATGATTCTCTTTTCTCTCAGGGAGGAAAGGTGTGAAGGGAGCACAGCTAGGTCCTGTCTTGTCATGGTATCAACGAGTGAAGATCGCGGTTGGAGCTGCAAGAGGGCTAGAGTATCTGCATGAGAAAGCAAATCCACACATCATTCACCGTGACATCAAATCAAGCAATGTCCTGCTCTTTGATGATGATGTTGCTAAGATTGCTGACTTTGATCTCTCTAACCAAGCTCCTGACATGGCAGCTCGCCTTCATTCCACTCGTGTTCTTGGAACTTTCGGTTACCATGCCCCTGAGTAAGTGTTGGTCTTGTGTAAACATGTAATCAGTAGTGTGATCACCTCTTAATGACATTTTCATTTTGTTAACAGATATGCGATGACAGGGCAGTTAAACGCTAAGAGTGATGTGTACAGCTTCGGGGTTGTGTTACTCGAACTTCTTACAGGTCGAAAACCTGTTGATCATAGATTACCAAGAGGCCAACAGAGTTTAGTCACATGGGTATACTAATCTCTCTCATTCTTACGTACACATCATGGAGTGTGTGAGTATTGATCATAGAAACTGTTACTTGTGCAACAGGCTACACCTAAACTGAGCGAAGATAAGGTTAAACAATGTGTTGATGCAAGACTTGGTGGCGATTACCCTCCAAAAGCTGTTGCTAAGGTATTAAACAAAATAAATATATCAAAATCTGTCATAATCTCAGACTGCTTCTACTTATCTTGAACCTCTCTGCTTATGTGTGTGTTGGAATTTCGATTTTGAAACGCAGTTAGCGGCGGTTGCTGCGTTGTGTGTGCAGTACGAAGCAGATTTTAGGCCGAATATGAGTATTGTTGTCAAAGCTCTCCAACCTTTGTTGAACGCTCGAGCCGCTGCTCCAGGCGACGGATTACATTAGCCACATCTCTCTCTCTCTCCGCCAGTCTCTCTTCTTACTCGGAAATTTTGATTTCCATTATACTTCAGTCAAAACTTAGTGTGCATAGATATCTCTGTAATGTTTTATTTATTTGATTTTTTTTTAACACTTATCATGTGTATCTTGTTTACTGTCCAATTGACTATTTCCCCCATTAAATTCTCATTTTGCCTAGCTAATATTATTTTCTTTTCATTCAAGTTTGTGGCAAAACCGAAAATCAAGTAATCAACATTAAACAACAAAAATAGAATGATTGTCTCTGTGGGAAAACAAGAAGGAGGAATTAGAATTTAGTGACTCTTTGATTTGAAGACAGGATCATATGGCATGTCCACAGATTAAAAACGCCAAAATTCACTCGTTACCATCCATTTTATCTTTGAAAATAGTCAAAACCAGAAACTAAAAAGATCCAAATTTAGCAAAACCATATAATCATCTATATATATATATACGTAACCTCTCTTCTTCCTTTTTCTATCCTTTCCAATCCACGTACGTCCAAAAAAGCAAACAAAAACAAAAAAAAAAACAAAAAAAAATGAACACTCCGATAAAACTCACCTTTCTCGTTCTCTGCATCGCCCTAACCGCAACCGCATTCGTAGTCCCGGCCAAACGCGATGCCGTTACACCAGAACATCAAAAAGCCGTCGATGGAATCTGCAGCGTTGTCAACGACAAACGTCTCTGTAGCATTACCCTAAGAAATGTCCAAAGCAATGATCCCGCCGTTTTGGTCCGTTACTTAGCCACGGCGGCTGAATTGTCCGTTAAAAGAGGCTTGAAATTCCTCGCCGGAATCAAACCCAAATACACCGGAAACGCCTTTGCCACCACCTGCATCAACGGTTGCGAGAAACAGCTCAACAGCGCCTTGGAAGACTTTGGAGATTTCTGGAAAGCCGCAGGACAAAACCTAACGAGCTTGGCTGAGAACTACTTCACCTGTAAGAAGAAGATGACTTCCATCTTCAACTACCAGTCGACTTGTCTCGATGACATTTACGACAAGACGTTGTTGAAAGTAGTCGAAGGAGGGATCGGGCTTGGCAAGAGAATGGTTGGTGAGTCAGTCGATTTGTTCGATGGAATGGGCAAAGTCTTCAACACTTTCAACATTAAGACCAAACTTAACCAGCAAGACACCGACTCGTTGCTCCCACCACCTTTGTCGTTTTACTACAATTGATTTGTTTATTAATATATATGATATATATAAAAAATAAATAAAACATCAAAAAATGTACGTATAATTTGCATCGATTGGGGTTTTCAGATATTTTAGGAATCTTCTAAGAAAGGTTTCTTTTGATGTATGTTTGTAATTAATATGTTATGGATTATAATCATGTATGGACCTCGTGATTGGAAAGGACATGGAAAAATGTGATTGTTATCGATTAATAATAAAACTTAATTAATAACGTATTTGGTTTTATTTTATTTTATTTTATGTGTATGCTCTATATAATCCATGTTTGCGTTAATTTTCGTCTTTGTTGATACTTTTCATTTCTATATATTGGCATTTTAGTAAGCAAAATATGTAGTGTTGTATATTTTACAAAAGAAAATTATGACCAACTTAGAGTTTTTATCTTTCGTGGGTCACATAATACACTACTTTTTAAAATCTTGAATATATTTAACTCGAGAGGTATAAATGCAAGGAGAACAAAATGATTCTCATTAATTAACCAAACTGTATAACAGTAGCTTTATATACGTAACGCACCATAAATTAGTCACCAAATCGTGTAACTAGCAACCTCAAGACAGCACACTATACCATTGATACACCCTCATATCTAAGCCTTTAATTCAAACGGCCATTAGAGAGATAAAGTCTTGACATGAATATTCTATCAAGAAGAGAATAGAAATGATAAGGATCCGATTGTAAAACCTTTATCAAAATATATCAACATGTTATTCACCAAAAAAAAAAAAAATCACCAAAAAACAAAATATATCAACATGTTCATTAGAGTTTAAAACGTAAATATTAATCTTTAGAAAGCTAATCATGTAAAGCACTATGGCGACAAATATGCATGCAAAACAAAATTTCAAAACTGTATATATTGGTCTCGGGACTAGTAGTTTCGATCTGCAGATTTAAGACTTACAACAAATAATATGCTTCAGCCTTCATGCCTAAATAGCATGTTTGCTCTATTAACATTTATCAGTTCATATTAGAAAGCGAACGTAGCGAATATATCATCAGGCCAGACCTTAACATATAACTAAGATTCATGTGTCGGTAGGTCCATGCACAAAGATAATGATATACAATAATAAATTTCCTTAATTAGCTTTTTATTTTCATATTTAATTTGGTTTTGGTTCCTGATTTTTGGTTGTGTATAGGTGTACGAATCTTTTCCATATTAAGCTTCTGATAATAGGACATACAGTACCACCTAATTATTGTTAAGGTTTCTATATCTATCAATGTTTGTTTTGTTTTTAGTCAATTAAGGCACCACACCTTCTAACTAGGAGACGTACGCCGTGTTTATCTTGCGGTGACCAATTTTAAACCCCACAGCTAAGCAATTACATAATCTCGTAACTTAATTACAACTATTTTTTGACCAGATATTCTCAGCCATTGGTCGACCGTAAACCCCTCTCTCTCTATCTCTCCATGCACACGTCCCTAATTTTAGAAACTAAAAGCTTCTATATAAACCTTCATTAGCCCTCACAAATTTACTGGCCCAAGTCATTATACAACTTGGCTTTTCTCTAATAAAGCCCCTCCTCTCCGATTAACCTCTAAATAAAACGGAGGGAGATTAAAAAAAAAATCAAAAATATACAAAATAAAAATAAAAAAACGAAAAAATGATCGGAAAAGTTGTGGTCTCGGTGGCCTCCATCCTCTTAGTGGTGGGAGTAGCCATTGGAGTCGTTGCCTTCATTAACAAAAATGGCGACGCTAATCTGTCTCCTCAGATGAAAGCCGTCCAAGGAATTTGCCAGGCAACCGCCGACAAAGCCTCATGTGTCAAAACTCTAGAGCCGGTCAAGAGCGATGACCCAAACAAACTGATCAAGGCCTTCATGCTCGCTGTACAAGATTCCATAACCAAATCATCAAACTTCACGGGTAAAACCGAAGGAAACTTGGGCTCGGGCATCTCGCCAAACAACAAAGCCGTTCTTGACTACTGCAAGAAAGTTTTCATGTACGCGCTTGAGGATCTCAGTACCATTGTCGAGGAAATGGGCGAGGATCTTAACCAGATCGGTAGCAAACTCGACCAGCTTAAACAATGGTTGACCGGTGTTTACAACTACCAAACCGACTGTCTTGACGATATCCAAGAAGATGATTTAAGAAAGACTATTGGAGAAGGTATTTCAAGCTCCAAGATTCTTACTAGCAACGCTATTGACATCTTCCACACCGTCGTTAGCGCCATGGCTAAGATCAACATGAAGGTCGATGACTTCAAGAACATGACCAGCGGAATCTTCTCTCCTAAAGGAGACAACAAAGGAACCCCTCCCGTCGCTGATGACTCTCCCGTCGCCGACCCTGACGGTCCTGCTCGTCGTCTTCTCGAAGACATTGATGAGTCCGGTACCCCAACATGGGTTTCTGGTTCTGACAGGAAGCTGATGGCAGCTGCCGGACGTGGCCAAGGAGGCGGTGCCGGTGCTAGAATCAAAGCGACCTTCGTCGTTGCTAAGGACGGAAGCGGACAGTTTAAGTCTGTTCAACAAGCCGTTAATGCTTGCCCCGACAAAAACCCCGGACGTTGCATCATCCACATCAAGGCTGGTGTCTACAACGAGCAAGTTATTATCCCCAAGAAGAAGAACAACATCTTCCTCTTCGGAGATGGTGCAAGAAGGACCGTCATTACTTACAACAGAAGTGTTGCACTCTCCCCTGGAACCACCACTTCTCTCAGTGGCACCGTCCGTAAGTCTCACGCACCAAACCCTAATTTACTGGTTCATTACTAATACAAACCCTAATTACATTTCATGTGTTTTGTAGAGGTTGAGTCCGAAGGATTCATGGCCAAATGGATCGGATTCAAGAACACAGCCGGTCCAATGGGACACCAAGCCGTGGCTATCAGAGTCAACGGAGACCGTGCTGTGGTCTTCAACTGCAGATTCGACGGTTACCAAGACACTCTATACGTCAACAACGGACGTCAATTCTACAGAAACTGCGTCGTCTCAGGAACCGTCGACTTCATCTTCGGCAAATCCGCAACCGTTATCCAGAACTCCCTCATCGTTGTCCGTAAAGGAAACAAGGGACAATTCAACACCATCACAGCCGACGGAAACGAAAAGGGTCTAGCCATGAGAATCGGTATCGTCCTCCAGAACTGCCGTATCGTTCCCGACAAGAAGCTAGCAGCCGAGAGACTGACCGTTGCTTCATACTTGGGAAGGCCGTGGAAGCAGTACTCGACCACCGTGCTCATCAACTCCGAGATCGGAGATTTGATCAGGCCAGAAGGATGGAAGATCTGGGATGGGGAGAGTTTCCACAAGACGTGTAGGTACGTTGAGTACGGTAACCGTGGACCAGGAGCTATCACTAACAGGAGAGTTCCATGGGCTAAGATCGCCAGGTCTGCGGGTGAGGTCAATCAGTTCACCGTCGCTAACTGGTTAGGTCCGATTAACTGGATTCAGGAAGCTAACGTGCCTGTCACGCTTGGACTATAAATCGTATAAATAAAATTCAAAAAAAAAAAAGAGGAAAAGAGAAAGAGAGTAGTACGTGTTCATCATGTAAAAGGTGAAAATATACAACGTCGTTTTCGATAGAGTTTTGCGCGGGGATGAAGTTGTGTAATATTTTGCTTTTTGTTTTGTCTCACGTATGAAAAAGATGAGAAGAAGAAAAATTTAAAAGTTTATGTTGTTTGATTTTCATTTCTATGTTTTGAAATATGATATTTATTATCTACTGTGTTGTACCTGTATGTCTAATAATTTTTTAAATATATATAATTTTCCAATGTTCTCTAACACTTAAAAACATATTAGATAATGTTGTGATCATTTTCTAATTTTCATATAATGTTGTTCTCAAACATATTTCAACAGCGTATTCCAATCACAGATACATGGGCTAGTTTAAAGAGAAAGCCCAATAAATGGATAAGAGACGACTGATAAAATGACGAAAGTACCCTTATTAAGATTTAGAACTGGAAATTTACCAAAAGCCCTTGGTCGTGTCATTTCATCTTTTTCCGACAGCGACGAGAGAAACCGCCGTCACGAGCTCCGGCGAAAGTTCTTTCATCCACACCGTCGATTTCCGGTTTTAAAAAACAGAGGAGGATGTTTCGGGCAGTTTTCGTGAGTAATCTGATTCGATCTTGCTCTAGAGTTAAGCATCCAATTGATCGGAGCGCACGTTCGCTTCTCTCGTCGGAGATGGTTCGTCTGTACAGCACCGGTAGGTTTTTCTTCGTTCTCAAAGTTTTTTACTCATTTTCTTCGACTTAAAACTAGGAAACAAACTCGATTGCGGATTAAACACTGCACTGAGTTCCATTTTAGCGAATTTCAGTTTGGTATTTGATTGAAATGGGCTCTGTAATGGCAGAAATGGAACCTCAGCTGTCTCCAGATCTTATTAAGATAATGGATCAGAGACTATCGTCGATAGAACGCGAAATGCTGTTCTTCAGAGGCTTATTAACCAGGTAATCCAAACCTTTTGCTTTATATGTTTTCAAATCCTCATTTTTGAAGTGTTCAATAAACTGTGTTGTGTTGATTGAAAAGACAGCCCGAGTACTCACAAGAAGAGTTTTCAAGAGCTAAAAGGAACTTCGGAAGCTGAGAGAGTCAATGGAGCTGATCAATGATTTGAGGGCCAAACAAAAGGTACTGTATTTCCTCCTCGTCTCTAATCTAAAAAAGGTCATCGCTTATAAAGTTTAATTCCTTCTGGTAGGAAATTGATGGACTGAAATCTCTGGTGTCAGAGAGTTCGGATGACAAGGACATGCTTGATATGGCTGTAAGTGAATTAGGTGAGGCGGTGGAAGAAGAGAAGAGACTGCAGACTTTGCTGCTTAAGTCTTTGCTTCCTAAAGACGAAGCTGATGAAAGGGATTGTATCCTGGAGGTGAGAGCAGGTACTTATGAACTAATAATGCTCTTGAACATCGCTTACTTCCAACGTTATCTAGGTTATTTTTGACAAATGAATATCTTGGTTAGGTACTGGTGGAGAAGAGGCTTCTTTGTTTGCCATGGACATATGTAGAATGTTAGTTCCTTTTTTATATACTGAACATAGAAAGTGTTATCCTTCTTTCTACTTGGAACTTGACTCTGTTTCCGTTGGAATATTGATAGGTACGAAAGATATTCGCAGAAGAAAGGTTGGTAGTTTGATATTGTAGGATATGAAAGGATACAAAGTAAGTATTTTTTGTTATTCTTGTCCCGTGAATATTATTAGTATTCCGTTATTGTTACGTTCTAGTGCAGCTAAGATCTTGAATGTAATTGTCAGGAAGCCAGTGCTGCAATATGTGGAGCTAGTGTCTATGGAAAGCTTAAGTTCGAGAGTGGGATTCACAGGGTCCAGGTACACTATATATGGAGTCACATAAGGATTTATCTCTCTTGACTCTTCATGCATGCTCAGATACTGTACCCTAACACTTGAAACATCTTTACACAGCGTATTCCAATCACAGAGAAATCAGGACGAATTCACACCAGCGCTGTATCTGTTGCCATCCTTCCCCAGGCTGATGAGGTACCAAAGTTTCTCTCCGCTCTTATTAGCCTTTATCTTGCAAACTTCATTTCCTTTGCTCAATTTTCGTGTCGACACTCTTTGATCATACAGGTAGATGTGCAGCTGAGGAATGAAGATATGAGGATTGATACATACAGGTCGGGTGGCTCCGGTGGCCAACATGCCAACACTACAAACAGCGCGGTCCGTATAATCCATCATCCAACGGGGATTATGGTCTCCATCCAAGACGAAAGATCACAACATATGGTTGTTTATTGTTATTATTTCCTTCAACTCTTCTCCTTTTTAAACTTCCACATCCATCTGAAAAGTTTATCATTATTTGTTTTTTTGGTAACAGAACAAAGCTAAAGCACTTAAAGTACTGTGTGCAAAGCTCTACGAGATCGAAAGGCTGAGACTACAGAACAGTCGATCAAAGCTACGGTCTGACCAGGTACATATGGAAATTAACATTCTGTTATTTTTTGTTTAATGCTTTCCAGTCAATTTTACATGAAATTGTTTCCTAGCTGATGATGGATGTGTGATTCAATCAACAGATTGGCAGCGGAGACCGTTCGGGACGCATCCGTACATACAACTTTCCACAAGGGCGTGTAACGGATCATCGTGTGGGAATCACTCACCATGCGATCGAAGATATGATGCAGGGAGAGAATCTTGACTCCTTCATCGACGCCCTTCTCTTGCGCCAAGAAATGGACGCCATTGCTTCTTTCAGCTCCATTTCATGACACAGAGTCAAAGGTAGACCAAACCTGAAACCCTTAGCTTTGTCACAAGGGTTAGCACTAGAACAGTAGTAATAAAATTCATTGAAAGGAGAACAAGAGGAAGAGAGAGAAAGAAAGAGGGAGCCAGGGAAGAGGCAGTGCATGGGAAGAGACAAAACACAGTCGTTTGATGTTTTAGTAAACTCCATCCATGCTCTGCTTGTTCCCTGTCTCTCTCATTACCACTTTGTCTTCTTCTTACATTGAGGGATACCCATTTTATTTTATAATAAAAAAAAGCAGGCTTACCGTAGAGAAATTGGCCAGTTCCTTGAATTTGTTTGTGTTTCTTGTGTTACTTCGTTAGGTTTAAATAGATTTTGGAAGCTTTGTTTCTGTACGTCTTCTTTGTGATGTACTACACAGAGAATTCACCAGCAATATTTTGTACTCCTTTTTGTTTTTGCAAAGTATTGTACTGCTATCTTGCTAAAGAGAGTACTGCAGTTCCATTATTGCTTGATTTTCTTGTATTGCTAACTCTCTCTACTTTGTACTTTATACGACTTTGTCGGTTTGGACTTTTGGTAAACCGGAAGGTAGAGAGAATAATTAAGCTGCCACGTGGTAGGTCCCTGCTTTTTCCAGTACAATGCTCTCTTTCTAGTACACAATGTTTTGGTTCAATGTTTAGTAGAAAACAATTGTTATAAACAAACGAATTAAATTCAGAAAGTGCTTCATCGATTTATTTTTAATTACATGAGTATCATAACTCTTGAATCAAGTAAGAAGAACATCGAAATCAGAAAGATGCCATTCTGCAATTGCTTCATCGTCTTTGTAAATCTCCGTACCAACATCCACCGATGTCCAGATCCTCCTCGCTGGAGTCGTACCAGGATCCTATCACCGAACCAAACCAAATCAAAACCCAAACCGGTAAACTAATCAGAAGAAACAACAAATAATTAATAATCCGGTTCTGTTCAATCAATCAATTCACCTGGTAGAAGTAAAGCCGGCTAGACAAACCACCAACGTCAAGCTCCCAAGTTCTCGGATCACCCACCCAACCATCACCCATCCGGGTCGGATACCCATATTCTCCCCAAACCGGGTGAGGCAAAAGCTGAAGAATCTCCTGACCTTGTGGGTTACTGAAAGGATCACAAGGCCCCACCGGAAGCTCCAGATGCTCGCCGTTTCCCGGCGCACAGTACACATGGTAAGCCTCGTAAGGAAAACTCCGATCATCGGTACGGTGCACTCTCGTGCCGTTTCGAAACGTATGGTACGATGGACAGTTGCGAAGAGCCTTGGGGTTGCACCAACGTGCGGTTTCTGGGTTTATGATCATCTCCGAGTAACGAGTTACGTCGGTGGTCACGTCTCCGTCGCAGGGCTTCCCGTTGTTTTTCCAACAACTTCCTATATCAAGAAGATAGAACTGGCTCTTTGGTCCTCCTCCTTGTTTGATGTCTAGAGTTAGTCTCACTTTGAAGTTCGGTGACTCCGGAAGCTAAAAGAAAAACACACATTCTAATCAAAACTCAACACATTTCGTAATTGTGTTTCACAAAGGTTTACACTTTACTTACTGTTTTAAGCATTCCTCTGGAGTCATAATGGTAACCACCAGAGAAGCCTTTAGTTGCATCAGCTCTAAGGTAAAGCATGAGCCATGGATACTTTGGGGAAGTCTTAAGCTTATGTTTAAACACCCAACCACCAACACCAATTCTCTTCTCCCACACAACCTCGTAATAGCTTATCCCATCAAACCCATTTCCCAAATCTGCTTCAAGCTCGTACGTACCATTGAACCATCCCCTCATGGTGTGGCCGTCTCCGAGGAGCTCGGTCTTACCGTGGTTTAGCACCGGTTGGTTCATGCAACCAGTGCCGAAACAGGGGAATTTCCCGGGTTGATTGAAAGGTGGGATCTTTCGGCCGTTTTCAGGACAAAGACCGGAATTTGTGTCGTAGTTTCCGTTTTTGAGCATTACCATCCAGAAACTCCATGGGTTTGGTTTGTCTGAGACTTGACAGAGAGAGCCTAGATAGACTTCTTTCTCGACCGCGTAGAGGTCAGGGTTTTGTAGTGCTGCTTCTGATATGACTCCTGATTTACGCTGTCCGATCCCTAGCTTGTTATCGGAATCAGATACCTTGTGCACCAAGGAATAACCACCTGCTCAAAATACCATAGTTAAAGAACAGAGGAAAACAGAGACATGAGAAACAGAGGAAAAAAAAGAAGAAGGAGCTTACTTGTGATGTTTGATTGGTATTTTCTGATTGATTTGTTACGTTTAGAGGAGATATCGAAGCAATCGGCAGCACGAGGACTACCCATATGAGGAGCTTCGAAGCCAACCTCATTGCAAAAGTTCCAAGCTTCAAACGCCACTCTGAGACCATCTCTCTTCATCCCGGGATCTCCAACCGCTGTTGATGAAGATCCCTCATCTCCATGAACCAGGAGAAGCAAGATTATCGCAGAGAATATTGGAGCTAGTTGCTTCATTTACTTCACTTTCTTTCTTCACCTCTGTTTTTGCTTCTAGTACTTCACTTTCTTTCTTTACTTATCTGTGTAAGAGCCTTTTTTGGTAAAGTGTAGTGAGAGTTGGTGAATGATTCAATGTGTCATAAATGCTAGCAAAAAGTCAATGAAGCTGTTAGTCTTGTTTGTTATCTTAGTAGTGGCGGTAAATGAGGAATAAATCCTGACTTGCTCTTCTTGTTCTAAAGCAAAGGCAATGCCATATATAAATGAAACCCTGATTCGATTGAACCACGAATAAGTAGAACCGGTGTTTTGGTTTATATATCTAATCATACCATTGTTGATTCCACTGTAAAGAGGGCGAAAAAGGCCCAAAAACATGGTAAATTTCCACATTTTCTTCTCCGTTGTTCAAATGATGTTGTCTCGTTTATGCATTCTTGTAGGCCGTTGGGCCCATGGGCAAATGGCTCCATCACGGAATGAACATTCTTGAACTTACCTTTACAAGTCGAACCTGCGCGCATATATATCACAAGGCAAGGCGCAACAATTAGACAATCCTTAAGAGAGGACTAGAAGAAGCGACAGAGAAAATGCTCATATGCATGCCCTACACGGCTACACCTAGGAAATTTTGAATATCTTATGGTCATATAGCAACAGATAAATATGTTTCAGAGTTAAGACTAGAACAAACGATAATCAAAATATAGCCAGGATAACCAGAGTAAATAAGGATGGAAAGATGGAGCCACCAAGTCAGTTGTTAAATCCAAAAGCAGTGTTTAAGTTGCTTAAGTTTTTGTTACTTATCACACGAAAGAGAGTATCTTCCCAAAGAATAGTTCAGGGGATTTAGTTCTATGCACAAAAACAATCGTTCAGCAGATACAGAAATTTGAGATTAGCGAATTAAAAAAAACGTTAATCAAAATTATATTCTGGTAATATAAGGCCATTCATCGTGGGCCTCGTTGATTTAGGCCCAGTAGAGTTACTACTTTTCGTAATTTTTTATGGCGCCAAGAAAAATAAAAAACAAAATTATAATTGATTTGTGGTCACAATCAAGCCAATATGACGTCGCTTTATTTCAATTTCGGAGAGTTGGGTTCTACCGATTTTTAGGGTTTAATAGCCGGAATAAGAAAGGCGAGCCTTTTTCTGTTTATGGTTTAAGGGTTTTTCTCTTTCTGTGAGTGTGAGAAGTGAGAGTAAACCACATTGTCAATATGTGGAAATGGAGGAAATGACGATGACTAAAGATTGTCAAGTACAAGTGTATACTGAAGAAGAAGGAATGGAAGGCGCTTGGTTCAGAGCCGTTTTGGAAGAAGACCTAACGAATTCAAGACGCAGAAATGTCCGAGTTCGTTAGACGACTCTGTTAACCGAAAAAAGTCATTCGACCGGAAAACATGTACAGCGGCGTCGTTTTGGAGGAAGGAATGGCCGATCACAGAGATGTGTTGTGGAATGGTCTTGTTGGTTATTACAGCCTTGATAAAAAACCTTGTTAATTTATACTCCAGAGAACAATAATTATTAACAAACTAATTAAATTAAAAAAAGTGCTTCATAAATTTTTATCATCTCTTCAATCAAGTAAGAAAAATGTTCGAATCAGAGATTCATGTCTTCTTTATTAGCGCGTCACATGATGATTTTATAAATAAAATGTATAGCATCAATGTTTGGAATATTACTTCAAGTGGTAGTAACTTTATTTATTTTCATCATAACTATAAAACGTGGACAAGGATAAATAGAGAAAGAGCATTATGTCAGTAATGACGTCAAGTTCGTAATTGGTTAGATGATAGATAAGATTCATTGATTCTGGAAATGCGCGGAAAAAGTAGTTATTGGCAGACAATTCCTCATTTGGGCTCCCTTGGAGTATTATTTTGACTTTTATTTATTTCCTTTGGATCATCGAGACAAGTAATTGTGACTTTTATTTATTTCCTATAGTTTTTTTTAATATTATTAATCTCTAGTTTTGACTTTTATTTATTTCCTTTGACCATCGATAGATTCGATACAAGTAACTGCGACTTGTTTCTTGCTCATAAAGTAATCAAATCCACGTGATTCCCCAGCTAACATGTTAATGCAAAGATATGATCGGATCAGATTATCTAATTGTATAATGTTTTAGCTTACATGCAGTACAATTAATGTCATCCAAATATTGGGAACTCCGAACCTTTTATGTTTATGACTCAGTTACAATTATTACGTGCACATGCTTTGCATCCGTTGTCAACAACTCAAATCGCAATTTTGAATTTACAGATTTTTAAAAAATACTCCTAAGAAAAAGGGATTTTGCACTTGTGACTTGTCAAAGTCTTAACAACTAATGCGATTATGCGAACAAGAAGAGTCAACTAACCGATGGAAGAACATTACAATAATCTTTCTGCTTTTTTGGTGTATTATGCATGTTTTCAAAGTTTAAATATTTTTTATACATAGTTGGTAAGAGACTAAACTAAAAATGTTTTTAGTTAAACTTGCAAATCTCTCTCGCTGGTCCCTACTACAAGTAGTACATATACATATATAGACACACGCACAAACGTAGATACGAAATTTATGGTTTTTAAAATATGAGTTAGGACGTATGCAGGCTGCTAAAACAAAGCTTATACTAGAGATCAAATTGTATATTAAGTTAAAGAGTAACGAATGATTTAAGGGATTATTGAATATCATGCGGTCCTGCCGTATCAAAACTTTATACTAAAAGTTATAGAGTTGTAGTTGA